AAACAAATCAGCCTCTCAGTCGGTTCCAGTTTAAGTCTTGTGTCAGTCTTCCCCCAAAATTAGAACAGCAGGCAGCAAGGCGGCAAAGTGTGAACTTGTTTGGAACCGGAACTTTCTCTAACTGTGGAGGTCACTGGAGCTTCCCTACCTTTTCGATCAATTTTGCTGCCCCTCATCTTGGGTTTCAGATTCTCCAGGTTTTGGTGCAAGGCCTGAAGGCAGAAGAGGAGAAAAGAAGGGTGCAGAGTCAACAAGAACACTTGAAAATGCAACATGTTTTTTTAAATGGCTCGGTGGAAACTGCAGCTTGGAAAAGTTCAATGCTTTGAAACAAGTGTTTTGAAAAGCCTCTGACAGTGCCGTTTGGACAGAAATCAACTGCAGGACGAGACGAGTTCAACCGTGGTGTTGATTCGTTAAGGTTGCGCGCGACGCCCATGCCAAACCACTTGAAAATTGCAAAGTGTATTACCAGAATGTGAATAAGTGCGAGCGAAGCGAGCGAAACACCAGAGTAAATTCAACAAATTTATCTGATCAAGTGTTGATTTTGAGGGTTTTTTCAACATTTTCGGAGACTTCAGAAATTTTGAAAATTCGTTGAATGGTGCTGAATCAGGAAGGAATTGCAACACGCAACCAAAACGAAAGACAAGAATTAAAGGCGCCCAGCCTGAAAGAAAGCAGAGTTTCTTCTGCTCAAATCTTCTGTCAAATTTCAGTGTGCCTTGAATTTCTGTTTGGCCATTCAAGAGAACCCAATCGAAGCTTTGTCAAAAAGAAGTCGAATGGAATGGAAATCAAGACTGGGCAACTCTCAAGTCGTTCTGGCCATGATGAGAGGTCAGTGTGATTGTTTTTTTCGATGTCAGCAAAGAACTGCAAAAACATTGGTCTTTCTTTTTGAACCCTTTGGAGAAATCGAGAAAACACTGGAAAGAAACCAGAATCGTGAAACTTAGACAATTTTATTTAGATTCAGCAGCAGATTCATACACAGCAACATTTTTTGTTTCAGTTCAAATTGCCTTCGCCCGTCTGAACAGAATTTTTTTCTTCTTTTGTTCAATGTTTTTGTCGGAATAATCTCTCGGTTAAGTTGCAAGCTTTTCCACCGCTCTGAACTAAAACAGAAACAGATCGTTCAGCAAGTATCCATAAGAATGCATAGTTGTGCTGTTTTCTAAGTGTGCATTTGCAAGAGTGTTGTGGATGTGTGTGTGTGTGAGCATTTGTGGTTGCAAAGTGGGTTGGTTTGCGGGTGCATGTCTTTGTCTTCATGTGCAAGGAAAGTGTGGGAAAAGGGTGGTAAGGCATGGAGAAACCAAATAAAAAAAAACAAAAACCTTGCAGTGGTGTCGTGTGTGTTTTCCTCGTTTTTTCATTGTGAATGGTGTGGTGTGTTGTGGTTTCGGCGTTTGTGGGTAAGAGTCGTGTGTTCATGGAGTGTGGATGTGTGTTCATATGTGGGTGCAAAGTGGCTTGGTGGGTGGTGTGTGTTTGCGTGTATGTAGGCTGGGCTCTGCTGGCTGTTTAAGTGTGGAAGTGTGCGGGTGGTAAAAGGTGTGTGGATTTTGGAGACACAAAAAGAGGGCAAGAAATTAATTCCAAAAGGTAGGGAAGCCGAAGTGACCTCCACAGTGCGAGAAAGATCGTGCCAGCCAAAGACAAGTTGAGCAAGCCAAGAACACGCGTATCGACGGCGTTTTTTGTTTCTTGAGTGTTGATGCAAACAGTATCGAATCGAAAAGATCTGATTGTCTGTGAGTTGATTTCAATTATTATTGAACTCAAATGGGTTCCAAAAGCAGCTCAATTCTGGGCACCGAAAACGGGCCCTAGATTTTGGATTTCCTGTGTGAACATACAAGGCCACGCAGGTTGGAGCCTCAAATTGGAACCCAAGTTTAGGAGCCATTTTTGGGCCCAGTTGCGGCGTTTTTTTCACGCACGGGAAGCCAGATCTGGCTTTCACAGCTCCTCGTTGCGAGTAAAACAAATCAGCCTCTCAGTCGGTTCCAGTTTAAGTCTTGTGTCAGTCTTCCCCCAAAATTAGAACAGCAGGCAGCAAGGCGGCAAAGTGTGAACTTGTTTGGAACCGGAACTTTCTCTAACTGTGGAGGTCACTGGAGCTTCCCTACCTTTTCGATCAATTTTGCTGCCCCTCATCTTGGGTTTCAGATTCTCCAGGTTTTGGTGCAAGGCCTGAAGGCAGAAGAGGAGAAAAGAAGGGTGCAGAGTCAACAAGAACACTTGAAAATGCAACATGTTTTTTTAAATGGCTCGGTGGAAACTGCAGCTTGGAAAAGTTCAATGCTTTGAAACAAGTGTTTTGAAAAGCCTCTGACAGTGCCGTTTGGACAGAAATCAACTGCAGGACGAGACGAGTTCAACCGTGGTGTTGATTCGTTAAGGTTGCGCGCGACGCCCATGCCAAACCACTTGAAAATTGCAAAGTGTATTACCAGAATGTGAATAAGTGCGAGCGAAGCGAGCGAAACACCAGAGTAAATTCAACAAATTTATCTGATCAAGTGTTGATTTTGAGGGTTTTTTCAACATTTTCGGAGACTTCAGAAATTTTGAAAATTCGTTGAATGGTGCTGAATCCAGGGAAGAATTGCAACACGCAACCACAACGAAAGACAAGAATTAAAGGCGCCCAGCCTGAAAGAAAGCAGAGTTTCTTCTGCTCAAATCTTCTGTCAAATGTCAGTGTGCCTTGACTTTCTGTTTGGCCATTCAAGAGAACCCAGTCGAAGCTTTGTCAAAAAGAAGTCGAATGGAATGGAAATCGAGACTGGGCGACTTTCAAGTCGTTCTGGCCATGATGAGAGGTCAGTGTGATTGTTTTTTTCGATGTCAGCAAAGAACTGCAAAAACATTGGTCTTTCTTTTTGAACCCTTGGAGAAATCGAGAAAACACTGGAAAGAAGCCAGAATCGTGAAACTTAGACAATTTTCTTTAGATTCAGCAGCAGATTCATACACAGCAACATTTTTTTTTCAGTTCAAATTGCCTTCGCCCGTCTGAACAGAATTTTTCTCTTGCTTTTGTTCAATGTTTTCTTTGTTTTTTGTCGGGATGATCTCTCGGTTGAGTCGCAAGCTTTTCCGAGAAACCGCCCTGAACTGAAACACAAACAGATCGTTCAGCAAGTATCCATGAGAATGTGCATGTTGTGGTTTCGGCTGTTTTCTGAGTGTGCATTTGCAAGAGTGTTGTGGATGTGTGTGTGAGCATTTGTGGTTGCAAAGTGGGTTGGTTTGCGGGTGCATGTCTTTGGCTTCAGTGTGCAAGGAAAGTGTCAGTGTGTGGGTAAAGGGTGGTAAGGCATGGAGTCTCAGAAGTGACACCAAATCAAAAAAACAGTGACCTTGCAGTGGTGTCTGTGTGTGTGTGTGTGTGTGTTTTCCTCGGTTTTTCATTGTGAATGGTGTGGTGTGTTGTGGTTTCGGCGTTTGTGGGTTAGAGTCGTGTGTCTCATGGAGTGTGGGTGTGTGTTCATTATGTGGGTGCAAAGTGGCTTGGTGGGTGGTGTGTGTTTGCGTGTATGTAGGCTGGGTTCTGCTGGCTGTTTAAGTGTGGAAGTGTGCGGGTGGTGAAAGGTGTGTGGATTTTGGAGACACAAAAAGAGGGCAAGAAATTAATTCCAAAAGGTAGGGAAGCCGAAGTGACCTCCACAGTACTCGCAGGCTTCCTCCCTGGGAAACTAGGAGGGTGCTGAACTGCGGCCCCAGATTCTACTTGGGTATGTGGTCGGACTGGGCACAGGTGTTAGGAACTTTGTCGGGCTTCAATAAAAGAGCTGCAAGTTGTGTTGGCTGTTGCTCGGGGCTCCTCCACTGGCTGACCACCATGGGGTGCTCTGGGCTGGTCTTGCATCCGCTGTTCTTGCTGACAAGTTCCCACTGGCTGACCACCATGGGGCGCGTGCTGGCCTTGCCTCTCCTCTGGGAAAGTTGGCCACTGTACCTTCCCTTTTCGCCACTGTATGCCTGGTACCTGCCCGTGTTGTTTCGCTGTCCTTCTTCGATTTACAGCTTTCCGTGCTGACCTTCGTTGCTTCATGATGGTGGTTTTGATGATCTGGCAATCTCACATTTTGCGACTCCCCCGCATGCTCTGCGCTACTTGACAACACCTGGATTTCTGCGACGACTTCGAGTACTGAGCGCGGGGAACACCTAGACGTTTGGCGCTTTGGACAAGAACGGCCTACTGCGCTGCTGATGTAGTAAAGAGGCGACAGTTCAAAAAAAAAGCACTGGTTTGGATCTCTCTTGCGACCAGCGCAGGAATTATGGTTTACGTTTTTCAGAATTGGCAGCTGCAAGTTTTGTTGTCGACAGCCCATATGAAGCCTTTCAATCGTGCTGACCCCGCCGTGCTTGATCCTAAGCCCTAAGCTCCAAGCTCCAAGCCCTAAGCCCCAAACCCTCAGCTCTCAGCCCTAAACCCTAAACCCTAAACCCTAAGCTCTGAAAACCCCAATCCCTAAACTCTAAACCCTTAACCTCTTGATTATTCCACTGTGCTGGACCTCTTGTTGTTTTTGCAGCTACAGCTCTGGAGTTTACCTCGAGTTTACAGACCCCACCCGATAATAGTGGGAAAACAGAAATCGAATCGGACCCTTGATACAATCCTTATTTATCCCTTGCAAGCCACTATTACAGGGTGGGGGGTCCACCTTTCACATCGATGGCTGGAAATGAGCAGGAGGTACCCCTCTTGGAGAAGGCGGAGGGCACAGAATCAAAGGCCTACACACACTGCGCATGGAGCATTCCCAATGTCCTACTTTTTCTGTTCGTTGTTGCTGGAGTGGTGATGCGCGTGCACGTGAATGGCGCAGGCTCAATCGTCTGGCTGATGACTGTCATCGCCTTGAACATAATCCGCTGGCCTTTCGAAAAAAGAGCAACAGTCGAACACGATAGTCTCAAAGTTCCATGTCTCCAAAGAGAAAGCGCTGCTTTTCTGTGTTTCTGCCGGCATGTTCCTGGTCCCCGCTGCATTCCTGATCACCGTTCCACGAGTTGTCGACTCTGGTAATCTTGGGCTTTTGCCGGTGTTGTTTGGCGGCGTGGTGACCGTAGCTGCCTTGTATCTCTTCTGGCGGAGCCACGCAGATCTTGGCCGCAATTGGAGTCCTACGACAGAACTCAGAGAGGACCACACATTGACTACCTCAGGCGTTTACAGCAAGGTACGCCATCCCATGTACACGTCCTTGTGGATCATTAACGCGGTGCAGCCTCTGCTAGTGCACAACTGGATCGCAGGGTTCGCTCCGGTGTGCTCTTTCGCAATTTTAAATTTTATTCGGATAGAATATGAAGAGGAGATGATGATGCAAAAATTCGGCGACGAGTACCTTGAGTACAGTTGCAGAACAAAGCGAATCGTCCCAGGTTGCCTATAGTAAAGCAGCCGTACTGAGGGGTTGGCAGTTGGTGGTTTCTGAATGACTAAATTGCTAATTTTGTGTGGCTTTGCACAAGCCCGGCGCAGCATCATCACCCAGAACCCTGGGAGGATCTAGAAAGTAGAGTCCCCCCATCATGGTACCCTGTATTCTGGCTATATTACAAAGGGGCAATTTCCAGAAACCCTCCTGTAAGGGGGAATCTGCTGTTCAGATCGGGGCATGCCTTGTGAAGCCCTTCAGGCCTCAGGACTTGTAAAGCACTCAGAGTTGTACAGAGCGAGGTTGGCAGGCAATACCCGATGTGTATCCCGGAAGGTCCAAATATTCAATGATCGTGTACCGCAGGGCGTCGCCTGGCGTGCTTCTAGCATATGTTTGGGGGGGAGTATGTGATGATCATCAGGCACTTGGACCCTTCGGGTAAAAGCTCTGGCAGAAAAACAAGTGTTGGTGGTGACTGCAGGTCCGGAGCAGTGCCCTTGGTTGCCTACGGTGCGTGCCCTTGGCGCACTTTTCAAGGAGATGCTGGTCACCCCATGCAAGCGGCTGGAAAACAACTGCAAGCTTTCAAATTTTGTTTTTGTTTGAGACGCAACTATGGCGATTGGTCGTCATTCTTTACGTATGCACCTTTCGCGTTGCATGGCTCAAGCACCAGCTCTCTGCACCTCAAAACTCTGCAAGGTTTACCTGGGACTCTACTTACGTGCACTTTAGTAGTTCCTCCCTTTAATTAGTAGGTATAACCCATAAAACTGGAGGTAAAGAGGGTCCCAGGTACAGTTTGCATGACCACAGCAGTTCATGACCTTGGAGAGCCCTGCAAGTTTTCTCATTGCAGATCTCTTGACAGCCGAGCCTAGCCATTCGCCCACGGTTTTCTGAACAAAGATCCAACGTGCCTACCTCCATGACAGTTTGCGCTCATGAGTGGGGCCTGGTTGAGGCCTCCTTCTCAGCGTACAATAGCCATGATGTTTTGACGCCAATTGAGTTCATTTTGCTGTTACTGTACAACTGTCAAACATGTTATAAGTATTGCCTTAAGATTGCCACTTCAGAACGGTTTGGCTCAAAAATCTCCCATAAAACAAGCGGGAACGCCCCGATGCAGGTACACTGGAAGCAGCTTTCTGCGGCAGCGGCTGGCGTTGTCAACAGTGAGTGGAAGACCCGTCATCATCTCCGACATCCGCCTGAAGGCCCCGCGCGCTCCGTATGGGTATGTTTCAGCATCAGCCGTGTTGGTCAAGCTTTTGGACACATGTAAGCAGAGCTTTGAATATGTACGTGACCTACTTGGCGGAGACATTTCCGGACGAACTGCTGGTGCACGTTTCGCCAGAGTCTGTCTGCTGCTTGCCCGTGTACTTACTATAGGGGCCCTAATAAGAGAATAGGGTTTTGAGGTGAGTATTTCGACCCGTTTTTCGCGAGCTTCAGGCACTCCCGCACGATGGAGTTCAAGTTCTCATCATATTCAAACATGGCGCCCTGAATTTCAGATTGTTGGCACACGCATCTTAACATTTCTTCGCTTTCGGCTGGAATAGAACCCCCAGGCCTACTTCAGGTGAGTGGTTTCCCCCGCCTATTGTACCCCTGCTCCCTCGGTGCCCTTCTATGCCCCTGAAAGAGCGCCCTATCTGATTTCCCCAACCTGGGGCATTCGTTCCCTTGCCGTTAATCTCGGAGCGCCACTGAGTCAACGCCAGGATGAGGAGCCTGGTCTCAGAGATTATGAGGCGCCGAAGCGCCCGAGGGATTATGGTTTAGGGGTTGGCGTCTAAAGGGTTTGGAGGCATTGAGGGGTTCGGGTTGAGGGAGTGGATGTTTGGTGTGTTTAGGGCCAATGACAGGGGGGGGGGGTTTCAGGCATGGGTTTCGCCGCTCTATTCTAGAGAGGGGGGGGGTTTCATGCATGGGTTTCCCCACTCTATACTGGCCCTCCTCCCCCCCCCCCCTTACTAGCCTTAAATTAGGCTTAATCGGGGGGGGGTAGTATAGAAGGGGTAGGAAACCCATGATTCATGATGCCTCGTGTCAGACCTGCGTTGCGCCTTCAGGCTTCGTTTGTCAGACTGTTGGACAAGATCTGCGACGGCCGAGCCCCCGGCAACAATTCCCTTGCGCCTTCAGGGTTTTTTAACGTTAAAAATCCCTGAATTCAGGGTTTTTGATGTTAAAAAAGTCCTGGAGAGCAGAGAAACAGAGCACGGAAAGCCATGGAACGGAAAGGAAAGTTTCCCACGAGCCATAGCGGAAAACGAGCTGTCGCTGCAACCAAGCAAACGAAGCTGGTTCCGATACGGTTTAGGGTTTAGGGTTTAGGGTTTAGGGCTTAGGGTTTAGGGTTTAGGGTTTAGGGTTTAGGGTTTAGGGTTTAGGGTTTAGGGTGTAGGGTGTAGGGTGTAGGGTTTAGGGTTTAGGGTTTAGGGTTTAGGGTTTAGGGGAAGGCCGAGGCTTCCTTTGGCAGGAGTTGGTGTTTTGAGGTCTTTACAGATTGGAGCCAGGTTTCGGTTGAAGTCAACCATCGAAGACTGAAAGGACATGCAGCTGGGTGCCCGTTTTCAGTTTGTGGCAACGGCCTATAGGCTCAGTTGTGGCGACCATCTCTAGAATCACTCCTTTGCATTTGGCAGCCATGGAGCAAGCTGCCAGAAACTCAACTAAACCCTAAACCCTAAACATCCCTGAGCCCTCAACCCTAAACCCTAAACCCCAAACCCGAAACCCGAAGCCCTAAACCCTAAACCCTAAACCCTAAACCCTAAGCAGTACACGAAGGCCCAGCTCCAACTCCGGCCCGCAGTGCAGAGGTTCAGACATCAGCATCGACGAGACAGGCACCACACTGAGGCACCCATGCATCCTTGGACACCCGATGATTACCCTAAACCCTAAACCCTAAACCCTAAACCCTAAACCCTAAACCCTAAACCCTAAACCCTAAACCCTAAACCCTAAACCCTAAACCCTAAACCCTAAACCCTAAACCCTAACTCCTAAACCCTAACCCCTAAGCCCTAAGCCCTTTGAGGCAGGGGAACTTTTTTTGGGTTCGCTTCGGGTCGGTCTTCTGGAGTTTGAGGTTTAGGGCTGACCGTTGTTCTTTCTTTTTTGTAGGGCCTGTAGGCTTTATGGAGCTTCTAGGTTTAGAGGCAATAACCCTAAGGATCAGAAGAGCTAGTCATGGCTTAGTGTAAGTTCCGACGGAGTCAGAACAGGCCGGAGCTCAGTGACAAAATGCCTCAGGTACAAGCCCGGCCAGATCATGGGTGGAAGTGGGCTTGCCCGGCTCACAGCTGGGTTCAGGTGGTGTCAGTGGAGCCAGAAGACTTCCGGATGTTTGCCCCCGTGACTTGGGGTTTTTCCCCTTAGGCTTACAGTTTCTTAATATAGGGATTATAGTATTCCTTGTTGTCCCCCTTAGGCTTACAGTCCTTAATAGGGATTCTTGTACCCCTTGTTATAATCCTTTAGTAAGGACTGTTAGGATAAGGATGAACAACCCAGCCCGTGGCTGTAAAGTTCAGACTCAGGTTCATAGCAGGGAATGGGGGAATGAGGGCTCTAACAAATCCCCTACAGGGTGGAGAATAATTGGCCCTCATCCCCCTCATTCCCTACGAAGAAACAGCGGGGAAAGCTCAGACTGAGGTTCATAGTTGTCCGTCGAGTCGGTGCCTGACCTACTTTCTGGAGGCTGCGGCTGTTCTGGTGGTAGTTTCGTGGGCCCTAGTATGGTCCCTTGCCTCCTTGACAGCCTAAACCCTAAACCCTAAACACTAAACCCCACACCCTAGGACACAAGGGCAAGGCGCCATCACACTTCCAAAGTCTGGAACAATATGCCAGGGCTTGCTCCTCCTCGCTCCTTTGGCGAAGCAGCCCCTCACCGCAGGCATCTGAGAAACCTCTCTCTCTCTCATATATATATATATATATCTACATGAGTACGTTTTTACAATTTGTTTTAGTTGGTTTGCTATTGTTTGCATTTGTTTTTGTTGGGGGGGGGGGGGGGGGGCGGCCGTTTTTATTTTATTTTATTCCGATGGCTGTGTCGAGATCGAAGTGGCAGGCCCGACGTGCATTGGGGGGAAGCTTGACGGAGGACATGCGACTCAAAAGGACCAGCGTCTGGATGATGAGCGCTTCAATCGTACTGTCTCTCCCCCCCACCACCTTTGGCTCAAAGAAAAGTGGCAAACCCAATCCCAAGACTAAAGTGCCCGTGCAGCTCCTACTGCTGGAAAAGAGCTCGTACGTCCCTACTCCGGAGGTTTGTGTTACTCTTGGGTTGCGGGAGAACAGCGTCACAGAACTGAGGTCAGGCTGAAGGGTGCTGGCACCTCAGTTTTCAAGCTTCTTGAAGATCAGGGCCGTCATTTTTCTTTTTGTTTCTGAGCGTCATGATCTAGCCAAGTTCCGATGGACCACCACACCGCAAGAGTGGAACCATGAACCCCCCAACACCCTAACCCCCAAACCCTAAACCCTAAAACGCTGAAGGTCACGAACAGCAGCATGGACTTGGCGCGAGCGCTCCTGTGCAGAGGGCTCCCATACAGGGGTTTCCGAACATTCGGGTCCTTATACAGGGGATTTCTATTTGATTTGGGATCTGGAGGCCTATTTTGGGAAATGCCCATATCGCACGTTTAGGGTGTAGCCTTTAGGGTTTTGGGGTTTGGGACTCGGAGGATTGTCGGATGCTGCAAGTACATTAGGGCCCATCGTGTCTTTTTGTTACTCCTTGGGTCGTGGCGCGGGGTGGGCGGGGGGGGGATGCAAGCACGGTGTGCTGGGGTTTGGGGGTACAGTGTGTTCTCCGTCCGCCTTCCGGCAGTCTGCGGCTTCTACTGCATCTTCCGGCTTGCAGCATTTGAGCGGATGCAGTCAGATTTGGGTCTGGCTCCTTGCCCTCGGGGCGCTCCAGCGTTCCATGGAGGCCCTGCCCAACCATCGACGTCATGAGCAGCAGTGTGCCA